TGAATGGGTGTATGCTTTTTACCGGTTGGTGCACCCATACCTGTTTTACATACAAAGTGTGGACATTCCTTTGTTCTCCTGTGGTTAAGGAAACTTGAGGAGAATAATTTTTTTCTCCAACTAGGATTTAAAACTCCTTCGAGCTGGATTTTTGATGATGATTTCCTGAACTGTTCCTCTTCATTTTGCCACAAATAACCTTGATCCCAAATTGCCTCTGAAACTGTTTTTCAGAGAGGGGGAAACATTGTGTGGACGTGTGCGGGTCCACACTACATGTACATATACATCATCGCACTCTACATTATGTGGACTTCTTTTGTGTAGAGGTCCACACTGTGTATGCCACGTCGGCACTGTGTATAAGGCACAGTACATGTACATGAATGCATGGATGTATGTCGACCATGAAGCAGGTAACCTTGATGGCGCACCGTGTTATGCATGATAGCCATGTGCCTGCAGTTTTTAAAAACAAAGGCTCCGGTGGTGGATGGCCACTTGGTTAGTTTTGCCAGTGTTAAAAGCTAAAATTTAGCTCTTTATATTTAGATTTAAGTGCCATGCGTGGGATGTTGTTCAAATAGTTCATTCATATGCATGTTAAGCGACAGAGTATTATGCTGGTAATGATTTTAAAGACAAAATAAATGCAAAAAGACCACTTTTGTGAGGCCTGGAAAACAGCCTGTGTTAGAAAACTAAGCCTATTACACCTTTCTGTTACCAGGAAGTAACTGCTTTGTTTGTTATCAGGTGACTAATTCTCTGCACTGTTTATGCCACTAATTGATCATGTGGTTATTTCTGACCACATGTTCAGGGAAAGGCAAGGTCACTACCAGTCCCCGCAATTGTCTGCCAGCATTGTCCAACAGCAGGGTGGGTTCTTAATGGGAAATAGTGGTGATGTTATCAGTTGGATGAAGATAAAGTTGTCAAAATACCCCAGGTGTAATTGTGATTCTGACAAGCAACAGCTCACATTGGTTAGCTTCAAGGCAAGTATATGTACATGTACAGTGTACATGAACAGTATGCAGTTCGGTGTATTCTGTAGCATTAGATTTCAACACATACTGTACAATGCATACAGTATGTACATGTACATGTACATGTAGTTACACAATCATTGAATTATAAAGCAGTGCATGACAAACCTTCACTTTGTTGGAAAAATGACAGAGAGAAGGAAGAGTCAGCCCTGGGCTGAGTTTTTCTCTCAAGATTCTGGGTGGATGAACTACAAGAACCGTTCTCCTATGTGATAGCTTCTTTTCAAGAAAGTACATTTAAGTTGTATATATGTACATGTATTTGAATTGAAGGATGGTTTAGAAATAGCCTGTCACAAGTCACCTTTCGTGGAACTGTCAATTCACCACTTCCGAAAATACCATTCCAAATGTAAACGGTAGCCAGAAAACTCTGTCATGACATCACGCGGAATTGTAAACCTCCGACCTTGCCCTGAAAATAAACCCAGCTTGCTAGCCAAAACAGGGAAACCATCATTGGACCCTTCAAACTCAGAGCAGTTCCTTGACAAGGCTCAGCACTTGCGTACATCCTCAGCGCTGCCGAGCGCAGGAAGTTCTGTTTGAAGGCAGGAAATGGAAGACCTCCATGTACCCTTTTAATGAGCTTTGCGGGCTGTCGTGTTGCACTTCCAAAATTGAATATAAAGCCCGGCCTGCTCTGTAGGCCAGAAATGCCTATTATGACGTGTGTGGGAGCGTGCGATTACTGCTCATGTCCGGTTGATTAACAACGACATTACATAAATGTACCGGTACAAGTGATATAATTGGGGAGGATGGTATTCGATGCGGACATATGAGTCGCGTTAATGAGCGTGGAAAGTTGTGTTGACTCGACAGTGTCAAGCCAATTTGGATAGATTTTGAACAGCTGAGAACTACTTTTACACTGAAGTGAGCACTTTCTAGGGGTACGTAATCATTCTGGTAATTGATTGCATGCACAGTTGGACTTTGTTTAATACTCACAAACATCTCTTTTAATTCAGCACTGGCGTGTTTCTTCCAGAACAGTGTTGATTGTTTCTGTTACCAGAAAGTTTATCTACGTGTAAGATTTCACAGGTATTGGTATCCTTGCAGTGTTGTTGCCAAGTTTTTTCAAGTACAGTGCCAAGTTCAGAGCCAAATATTGAACTGGTTGGGGGGGACAAAGCTAGAGAACAATGGACATTGGATGGTGAATGCACCAAGGTGAGATTGCCAAATAAATTCAAGACTTCAGACAATTCCAGTTTGTACAAATTAAGCGTTAAGGAGAAAAGTGTTTGAAAAGTCCTTGGCCAAGTACTGACTGAGTACTTTTATCCTAAAAACGTAATTCTTATAAAACAGTGATTTTTGAAATCTTCATTTTGTTTGTAATATCACCTTTTTGCATTTACTGTCAAGTGTACAAATTCTTCTGGATAGTTCCTCGTCACGAGTTCAACATAAGGCAGTGAACCTCACGCTTGAAAAGTAAACATACAGGTGTACTTAATTATTACCTGGCACCTTTGACTGCTACAGTACATGTAGCTGTCACTCATTACAAACATTTGAAAGACACTCATGATTATGGTGAAAAGCAAAGGACTTTTTGGCAAGTCACGTACACATATTTTTCAAATTCTAAGAAAAGACACATTTTTCTCTCATGTTTGCAATTTGGATGTTGTACATGTACTTGTATGTACCGGTACGTGTACATGTACAGTGCATGTACTTGTATGTACCGGTACATGTACATGTACAGTGCATGTACTTGTATGTACCGGTACATGTACATGTACAGTGCATGTACTTGTATGTACCGGTACATGTACATGTACAGTGCATGTACTTGTATGTACCGGTACATGTACATGTACAGTGCATGTACTTGTATGTACCGGTACATGTACAGTGCATGTACTTGTACATGTATGTACCGGTACATGTACAGTGCATGTACTTGTATGTACCGGTACATGTACATGTAACTTGTTTTTCTCTTATGCCTGGTTGTTCTACCAGTGCATAAACTGTAGTAGTAGTTCGTAATTTTGCACATGTGTTTCTGAAGAAGAAAACATTGCCGAGATCTCTTCCAATATCTTGTATTTGGAGCAGAGTAACATTTGTTGATCATGTAGAGCCTGCAGTACCGGGTACATGTCCATGTATTACGAGTACCCATTCAAAAGTCCCTTTGCTTGAAAACTACATGTCATCACAGGCGTGAGTGTATTCCAAACGGCAGTCTGTTTTTTCTTTTACATTTAGTTTCAGCATTATTCCCACATTTGGTGAGTCACACATGTGGTTGTACATGTACATGTACTTGGCCCCGTGAATCATGTTTGGATTGGAGTTTTACACCTGCACAGCTTAACATGTACATGTATTGTACATGTACATGCCTGCTTGGTCAATGCTTGGAACACACTCTTTGCGTATAAGTTAACGCTCAAAAAGATACATGTACATGTACAATGTTCACCTTTCATCTGTACCAATACCATGACAACCATGAATTCCATTTCAGTGACCTCAGTCAGTGCAGATCCGATGCATTGGGAACGCTTATTAAAGTGTGAAGTCCAACCAGTGGGTCAGGTTAATGTTCGTGTCTTGCTCAGACTCTCAATCTGCATGGGCTGTCATTAACATGATTTTGTTTTTTTTTTTCAAACCAAGGCCACATTCCTGTGGACAGGTCTGCTCAGTATGATTTTTAATGAATGCAGGATGTGCATTTCACAGGTTGATGGTGTTTTCATTTGAAAGCTGAACGGATGGTATCAATTTCCTCACCTGCATTTATTTTTATACTGTTACTGGGCTTTCCTTATTGGGTTTTATAACGGACTGAAGAAATTCTGACGCATGAGAGATATTACTTTTGGACATGCTGGGCCATCGACTTTGTTCTGATGAACAATCAAAAATCAGCTCTGCGTGTAGATCAACCTGTCTGGTGTCCATTTCATGTTTCTTGAAGGATCAGCAACTGATGTATACACAGAAGTTGTGCTTCACTTTAATGCAAGTTGACTTTTCCTACACAGTGCAATGTACATGTACCTTCACGGTAAAAGTTGAAGACAGATACAATGTAAATGTCAAAATCCTTGCTTTTAACAGCTCCATGCATGATCTATGATTCAAGAGGCCACCTGAGTGACTGCAGAAAATAGAAAAAAAATGCATTTTCTGTTTTGGTCTCAGCTGCGTATTTACTGGTATGTACATGTACCGGTGGATGTTAAAATGACACAGGGAGGGTTGCAGGCAGCAAATTTTCATGAGTAGCCTAAGTTTCAGTTAAAGGTGCACAAACCGTAGCCAAAATTTGTACATATTCACCATTTGGTAACATTGGGGACTAGCAACTGCATTGTAGATCTATGGTGCATGTATGTTCGTGAATAACCAGTAACAATTTGGAATTACAAAGTGTATATGTACATGTACATGTACCCCAGTATGCACCGTACATGTACCAGCGGTATGTTATGCATTGTGTGAAACTACAGTGTACATGTACATACACGTATGCTGTGGACTTTCAGATCATAAAACAAGGTAGTGTGTAGTTCCACATTTGAAACTGTAAACCTCCTTTCAACAACTTCCCCTGGTGTTATATATACACTCTATTTGTTTCGATTAATAAGGTTTGATATCCAGCTGTCCTCAATATACCCGGTGTACGTAACATGTACATGTATGTGTGTTACTGTATGTTTGCAATGACTCTACCTTACATTTGTATTTCTCTTTCAGTTGTGATAGTGGCCTTCCTGCTGTCGTATTTGGTATTCCACACTTTATCATTCCAGCCTTATTAGTTAAGACGTTATAATATAGAAAAACCATGTGCTTAGCAGTAGATTTAGCGTGATGGGGAGTTGGTGAAAATCTGGATCAGTTTTGGGGCTGTTGTCATTAATTTTCCAACAATTCACTGAGTTTTTTTGTCCATTTGTATTCCAGATACATGCAGCTCTGTGTCACGACCTAGTTAGTCCCTAAGGTTCTCACGCGGTCCTTTTTCCGCTGGCGCCCTGCACTACTGGTTCACCATGCCTGAGCTAACCAGTGAGGAGATGACGTCGCATCTCTATGACCGCTTCGCTCAAGCTGGAACCTTCCAGTCTTGCATGGCCTCTTTCCGTCAGCTGTGTGAGCATCTAGGACTTGACCCCAGACATCAAAAGTAAGGGCTGGTTTAAGTTTATCCTATCACAGTTACTTGTACCCCCTCCCCCTGAAAAAAGTCCCTCTAACCCTCATCTACCCCTCCAAAAACACTCTGCGTTCCAGTTTGACTCCTCATGCAGTATTACATGTATAATAAGTTTAACGAGAATTATTGATCATTGTTGATGAAAAAGAGGGAAGTAAGACAGAATTTGCTAAGACTGTTTGGCTTGTGTATATTTGGATGAAATTGGACATGCACACCTGGAAACTTGAACAGGCACGCAGTGTGCCTCGGCCGGCCCCTTTATTGAGGGGACAACTCCCCCCCTTCACCAAATTATGGGGACAAAAAAAAATGTTCACACATCAAATTTGCCCCATTCAGCACTTGTGTAGTCCCCACAAAAAATGTATGCCGCAGGGTTCCCCTTTGCACAGTGTCAGTGACATGTATGTACCGGTACATACATGTACATGTGTAGCTGTATGCCACTGTTCAAGCAATGAGTTAAGCACCCATGTTGGCTCAATTCAAGTGCCTGGGTGGGTGCCCCAAGAGAGCTTGCACACAACTGACACTGTCTGGGAACTACACCTTGTCATGTGCTAATGTGGTTTCCATGTCTGAGGTTTAGTGTCTGAGATGATGTCATGTAGCCAGCTCATCAGCTGTACCATACAGGTCTAGCATGGATGCTAAGCTCTTATTGCCTTGGTTTCTTCTGCGGGTTTTTTTTGGGGGGGGTAGGAATCCAGTCTGCCTTGTGGTTTCCTAAGTATGTATAATCCCTTTTAGTTTGCATCCACACATTATCATAAGTTCAGGTACATGTTGCATACTGGTTTTGGACTCTAACAAGATTGCACTCCCTGTTTTTCATTTTGCACTCACACTTTTCAAATCCTAGCTAAGACACTGATGCGAGCATATTTTATAGATTTTCCTGTCTCTGAATTTTAAGAAAAGGTATTTTAGTGAGTGCGAACAACAAACCCTTGTTACGATGTTTATTCATTAAGTCTAGAGTTAAAGTAACTACATGTACATGTACACATTCAAAAGGAGAGTTAATATCAGGAAAATCTCAAAGTCTTACACCTTCTCAAAAGTGGACTGGTACCCTTGAAAATAGTGTGCTTCTCTTGAATATTAAATTGCACATTTGTTTGAAGATTGTGGAAAGAGATACTCAGTCTACATGTAGATCTACATGTATGCTGCAAATGCAATAGAAGAGGTAACGAAATGTTCCAAGTGATACACTGTAATTGTAAAGAGAAGAATGGAAGAAATAGAAATGTACTACTTTTCAAAAATGGACAGTTGCAAACAGTAACAAAACTTGGATGTACATGTACTTGCATGTTTACGTCACGTACCTAAGAACTGTGGACATTCCTTTGTTTTTGTGCAGTTAAGAAAACTCAGTGAAAATACTCATTTTTCTTCAACCAGGAACAAGATTTTTGGCTGTTTTTTTGTACAAGGTTTCCTTGACTATTCCTCTTCCTTTTACCACAGATGACCCCGACCCCAAAATGTCTCTTAACCCCTTTTCCAGACAGGGGGAAACCTTGTGTGGACATGCATGTCCACAAAACGCCATCGTATCCTGCATTATGTGGACTTCTTTTGTGCAGAGGTCCACACTATATATGACACGCCTGTACAGTAGTACTGTATTGATATTAAGTAATGTTTATTCACATTAAATAAAGCTGTACCTTACTTTTACTTTATACCAGTTCTCTGTAACAGGCTTCTACTTTTTACGGTGCACTGCTATTGCTTATAGCACACTGAAAGTGTTTTTAAAATTAAACTGTTTCTTGCTGGTGCACAGGAATTTCTACCAACAGTTCAAGTCCAAGGTGACCACTTGGCAGGCAAAATCACTATGGGCCAAGCTGGACAAACGGTTCAATCGGAAGGAGTACAAAAAGGGGAAGGCATGCTCGGATACAAGGGTAGGTCGTTGGGAATTCGGGTGAACATTGAAAGCAGGTTGGGGTAGGTCCCGTGTGTGATGAGTTGGAGAGGGAAGTGATGAGATAGACACGTGGAGCTGCCGCAGCGATGCTATTGTCAACTTCCAGTTTAGTTTCAGTTTTGTTACGTCGAGTAGGATGATTTTGCACGAATAACGCAACAGTAGTTTGGTCTCTGGGCACCCTTTCCCGACCTTTTGTGCGGTCACTGTGAAAGCACTGATCGCGCAGCGTGACATGTTTGTTTTGGAAAAAGGCTGTAAACATTAGGTACGGTGGTGTATTAAGCTGAAGGAAGTCCTGAGTTTGAGGGACATGTACAGGAACGGCCCTGCAGTGAGGATACAGTCAGCACTTTCTTTTTGAAAGAATGTGATAAAAAAAAATTATTTTTGAATATCCCGGAATGCCTTTTTCCTGACACAGTGCAAGATCACTATGAAAACAATGATTGCACAATTTTTATCATGTTATTTCAAAGATCACAAACGTCGATATTAAGCCTACGGAATGTATCTGGGGACATCATTCATCAATGATGCATCATATGCTTGGTGAAGAGAATGAAAAGAAAAGTTGATACAGTTTCGCTTGTGTACAGTTTGAGCAAAGCTGGATTTAAGTTTAAGGAAGACCAAGAAGGTATACCGGTACGTTACGATCCTCTAACTGTACATACAGGCTTCCATCAAACATGGAGGCCATTCTTTGAAACAAGGTGTCCTTAAAGTACATGTACATGCACGGGTACATACATGTATGTAAACCCAAATGCGGGGAAAATGTTCCAAGAGTCACGTTAATAAGAATGTCAGGTAATTGAAAGAAACCATTGTTAAGTTAACCAGATGTCATCTGAGCCAACATGCTTAAAGGTGTGCAACACTTTTGCCAGCTGTCGTTCTTCTATGGGTGAATCTAATGGCCATGGTTATATCTAATGGCCATGGTTATATCTAATGGCCATGGTTATATCTAATGGCTATGGTTATATCTAATGGCCATGGTTACACTACTGCTGGCAACTCTTAATGGCACCCCTCAGTGGGAAAAGACACTGTGAGAACCACAGTACTGTGCGTAAAAAGTGTTCTGTGGCAGTCATTCCAAACAAAACCCAACACAGTACTTTCCGCCATAGAAGGGGGCCATCAGGAATGGCTGGCGACAGTGTCATTGGTGTCATCAATGTGGGGACTCTTGTTGCATACATGTACTTCTGCTTCCCTAGGTCCTGGTCATCGGCGCCGGTCCTTGCGGCCTGCGCACCGCCATTGAGTGCGCTATGCTGGGCGCCAAATGCATCGTCATTGAGAAGAGAGATAGCTTCTCCCGTAACAATGTCCTCCACCTCTGGCCGTTCCTCATCACCGACCTCAAGAATCTCGGTGCCAAGAAATTCTTTGGCAAGTTCTGTGCTGGCGCCATCGATCACATCAGTAAGTTTTCTTTAAAGATGTCTACCCTGACTCGTCATCACTGCCTGAGGTATTGACTCTCCACATAAATATTTTTGATTTTGTCTTTAGTACAAATCCTAGAGTTAATTATTCCGTTTCTTATTTGTCTTTTTTTTCTTTTCAACACTTTGCCATTTTGGGTTTCATTGCCAAATGGGGTCACCGGGCAAAACTTTGCATCTTATAAAATGAGGAATATATATTTTGCCAGCAGTGCATGTAAATTTGTAGAAGTTTTAGTATAAAGGGAGATCCCGTCAAGCCCATTTAACAAAGCAAGTGCAAATTTATACATTCAGCTGTAAAAGTACAGCTTCAGCTTTTGTGAGAAAAGAATTTTTTTCCCCCCAAGTGTTTCGTTAGCTTTGTATGTACTCTTTAGCTGTGTACCCCTTAAAATATTGGGCACAGTGTTAGTCACTAAGTTGACCCCGTGACATACTTGTACATGTACATTATGAACCACTGTATGTTGGACAGCCCTGTTGTGTCTCTACTGTGATTTGATTTCCATTGTGTTGTGCACATTCTGCCATTCTTCAGCTATTCGTCACCGACCTCAAAGAGGTAGTCCCATTGGCATTTGGATTAAATCTGAGCCGCCCTCCCTCTTTGTCAAATCCACCCGTTGACCTGATTGACCTGCTCCCCCCTGTCTCTCTCTTTTCAAACCTCATTCACAGTGAGTAATCTGTGATTGGAGGGAACTACTGTCTTGAGACTGGGGATTGTGATTGGAGGGAACTGCTGTCTTGAGACTGGGGATTGTGA